AAATTCCAAGTCCCTGGAGGTGGTTCCAAAAAGTTCACTTTGGCCCAATATACTAATTCCCAAAGTACAGTTTAAAAAGATCCACTTTAGGGTTAATTTGTCTATGTTCCAGCCAGGCATGAAAAAATCGAAAAGAAATAAAAAAACTGGTTTCCAAGCTTTAAACAACAGTAGAGTGATCAAGGTCACTGTTCTGGGCATTATGCCCAAAGACTTCAAGTAGTCAAAACATAAGATAAGTCCAGACTTAACTAGTAATAACTTACGAGAAAATTTCTTAAGATTTATAACGCCAAATTATAATATTCTTAAAGTATATTTTAAATGTATTTAAATGAATAGTTAATGTCCCATTAATCTTTAAATTATTTTCTTTACATCAACTATCCTTCTCTCCACATTTTCTGCCGATCTATGATTGATGAGATTGATAGAAGGTTCTTTTTTCTGTATATAGGAATTGTCTTTTCCAGGGGTAATCATAAACAATTAGTTGTAAAAATATATCTCACCCAATAGTAACACTGATGTTGAATAGCTGATTGTTGCTTCTCTTATTGTCGGCTGCTGACGACTTCCAAGCAAGCTTCCTAGCTGCTTGTTTCTGCCCATTGGCTGATTAGGGAGTTTCCTGGATCAAACAGGAATGGCCGCCGCCGCCGCCCCCCATGATCAACAGGCTTCCTGCCCAGTCCACCACCTCTTTGGGGTGGTTTCGACACCCTGGGGTGTCCCAAACAGGTCAGAATTCAGCCCAGGGGACAGAGCTCTGTCCTGCTGCTGTCTCGTTGCGGCGCCAAGCCGGTCTCCAAGGTAGAACTATCTTATCAGCTCAGAGTTCAGCTGTATTATAGCATTACATCTACATTAAATCTGGTCATTAAATGAATCTCTTGTAATTAGGAAGTAGTACCTAGGTTTTCTTGTTTTCCATTGACCTCCCCATCCTTTTCACTTTTGTGTCATCTTATACTGAATTATAAGCCTGAGAATGGGGTCATCTTGCTTATGATATATAAGCCACTATGAGAGCCTGTCTCGCGGGGTATAAATGCTTAAAACCAATAAACAAAGTTTAGCTTAATTTCAGTTAAATGAAGGATTGTTTTATACTATATGATTTGAGAATAAAAAGTAACCTCAATCTTATTATTAATCATGTTATTGTCTCTTCTTTTAGGCTGCTGAGTCTGGAATAATAAAAGTAAAAACTATAGCTGCACGAAACACTGACATATTGGCAGGTAATAAATTTCAAAGAGAACAAAATTAAAGTTTTATGACTATTTGTGTTGAATATTTTTAAATATGGAAATAAGTTTCTGGCCTAAATCACATTACTAGTTTGAGTTAGAATAGACCAGTTGAGTCAGGGACAGTAACATGTGTTAACTAAACTTTCAGCAGTTGATCCAGTAGTCTGTAGTAACTGGGACTACAATTTAGGTTTATTTAGAGCTCTGAGTTTCAAGATTTTTTTCTGAGTTGAAATTGAAACACAGTACAGGGATCTGATATCTAACTGAGGCAGACTGCGGTTCATTAATGTCTTACCCTAATTCAAGGCAAGCTATATAGCCCAAAGCTAAATGTATATAGTTACCACATTTTGTAATAATCTTTGATATGTTGTGTAAATATTTAATACTATTGTAATAAGCTTCAATATTCCCCAGTGTAAACTTCAGGGGAAGTTTCCACAGCTAATAGTGCCAAAGATGTCAGCTTTTCCCTTTAGTTTTTTTCCCCAATTTCAACCCTGGCCATGCTGGCTATGGATTTATTTATTTATTTATTTATTTATTTATTTATTTATTTATTTATTTATTTATTTAATCAATCAATCAATCAATCAATCAATCAATCAATCAATTAATTAATTAATACCCTGTCTATCTGGACTACTAGACCACTCTAGGCGGCTGATGAGAACTGTAGTATAATATAGCTGGGGAGTCTATTTGTTGTCTCATTACACAAAACTCAAACTTCCTGTGCTCCAGCTATTAATTGGAGATCATTTTTTGAAAAAGATTTTGGAAAATGATTTTTTTATGGTCACAGATCTTAGAAAATGAGTGAAGAAAAATTATAGTATAGATGGAATTGTTTATTTTTTTTTTCAGGTTTGTAACCTTTGTTCATCACTGCAGGTGTTTAAATTCAGATTATCTGGATACCCTGCATTTACTGGTGCAAAGAACACCAATGTAATAAATGGAAAAGCTCTTAAATGCAGGTGTTAAGATACTTGGAAGAAGGCTTACCCAGTATCTTTTCCAGTACAGTTGAGTAGTTAGTTAAGTGTATCAGAAAGTTACACAGCCTTATTATGTGAGAAGCTGATAAAAAATTAATGGGTCTTGTGAAATAGTGAAAAAAGGTACAATCAATTAAAAAGAGAAGGGCTAAAGACTCATTTCTTTTCACAAGAACCCAATTTGGACTATAATGTATGCTACTGATACCATTACTTACCAAATACCTGCAAATACAAAGCAACATATGTAATAGATACTTTGAGATACGCCACTCCCAAAGGATGTCCCATATACTCTGAGGCAGAGGTCCCTAAGCCCCAGTCCATGGCCCGGTGCCGGTCCGTGGCCTGAGGCAGATGGGGCCACCAAGACAGACCTCCTGCCCCACCCCCTGCACACACTCACCCCTGCACAACGCATTTGCGCCTGCGTGCACGCTCCAGCACACCCATGCAGCACCACGCCAGCATTTGCACATGACAAGCACCGTATTGCCGTTTGCGCATGCGCACAGTATTAACTGTGATAAATTTATTAACCATTCTTCAAATATGTGCAGTTGCTGGGCACAATAAAGAATTTACAGTGACATTTGCATCAGTGGTGTGTCATATATAAAAAGTTTTAGCAGTACCGAAAGATTCCTCTTGCCTTTCTAGCTAGAAGAAGACAGGAAAACATGAACATATGCATGGTTGGAAGCTTGCATTTGATTTGATAATGCTGAATCAATGCATTGACACAGGATTTGGAATAACATTTTTGTTAATAGGTTATGTTTTAAATACCTTTCAAATGTTTTGATGCACTAGGAAGACTTGAACATTAGTTCTGCCAGCAAAGGGATTTATAATGGCTTCTGTGTACATGTATGTTAAATTACTGTCCGAGAGCAAGCTGTGTTGGCCTGTCACACAACAAACAACAGGACAATTAATTTTGTAGTCTTTTTTGCTCGGATTATTAGATTTTGAAGAAATACTTTTCTATTATATAAGCCCTACTTATGTTACCTAAGTATATATATTAGAATATTTGTCTTTGCCCTAATGTTTTTTACCTTAATACTTGTACTTTTTTTTTCCATTTCTGTCATGAATGCTGACATGAGTGGGAAAGCTTTGATGGGTAATGTCAGCTATTCATCCAAGTGCACTAAGACAGAAAATATCAGACAAGGAACAAAACAAAAATGTTGTGGCACCTTAAAGACTGACTGTTATATTTTAATGTGAGCTTACATGGATCAAGTTGTTTTGTTTTGTTTCTTGTCCAATATGCTTATAGAGACTAACATGGCTACCACTTTGAGGAAGGCCAAAAAAAAAATGAGGTTCATCTGTTTGAAGAACTAAGAAGTAGCCTTCAAATATACTAGTATTTTGAAAATGTCAATCACATGTAGAGCCAGGTCAGTTCCCTGGTTTAATAGACTGGTGTGGTTGAGGAAATAGTAGAGACAGAAGCTAGAGGACAGTCAAGCCAAATCGAACTGTAAATTTACTGAAATCCACCTGAAAAGATACTCTGCAAGGCCAATTAAGACCCATGTCTCTGCAAGCATCTTGTTTTCATATAATAGATAAAAAAAGGTGAATGTTGTTAAATTAAAATGAATCAAAGTAAATCAAATACAAATCATTATTTAAATTAGTGTTCAGAAAGACTTGGTTAAATCATGTGACTTTTTAATGTAAAGAAGTGCACTCTTGCTTGCTACATTCTTAATATGTATTCATCACAATACATATTTTTCACAGCATTCTTAGGCTTCATAATGTAAAAGAATCACCATCATTAATGGAAACTACTGAAACCAATCCTAGATATTTTAATAAGTCTTATTTGTTTCATTTATTTGTCTCAAGAATGCCCAGTTTTATTTCATACTGAGAAAAAATAAAGCCACAGGAAGAATGTGAGTTAGGCCTGGAAAACATGGCTGATCTCTTATTTCTCTCATGAACCTATCCGAATGTTCAGATCTTCAGGAGGGTCACTCCTGAGAACACAAACACATGCCAAGGCCTGGTTGACAGACATGCAGAAGAATGCTTTCTCCTTCCTTGTTCCAAAGTGTAAAGATACTTTTCTCTGTAACAGTTAGTTTCTGCCCTCAGTGCTTTTAGGGTGACTATTTAATTTATTTGCTATTTATTTATTTAAAATATTTTTACCCTGCCTTTCTCCTAAAAAAAGGACCCAAGATGTACAATAACTAAGGCATGTGTCACTGCGGCCAGGTCAGACCTCTCCAGGAGAGGATGCAGCAGACGCACTAGTTTCAAATGTGCAGAGGCACTCCTAGCCACCACCAAAAAAGGAGGGAGTGTAACTCCATTCAGTATGAAAAGTTGCTTGACCTTTTTGAACTAGTTTACAATATTGTTTAATATTATTGTAATTATTTTAACAACCTGTTTGTAAACTTAACTGGTTTATCTGGGTTTTTAAGCTGATTGTAATGGTTTTATGGCTGAAGTTGTTTGTGGTTGTTTCTGTTGCTTTACAATAATTGTAAGCCACCTTGATCATTCTGCTGGGGTAGAGTAAGTGTGTAAAATAATAATAGAAGTAGAACGAGTAGTAATTGACGAGGGGAAAGGTCATTTTGGTTTCAGAGCTACATGTCTGGAGCAAGTCTAGAGACCTCTGCAATAGCTGGAGTTCCGAGAGCTATTATATTTGCAACCAGTAGATAAAATTCTAGTTATAACTTAGTATCTATGTAACTCCCACAAAACAATTATGAACAGGATTGAGAATTTGTCACATATGCATCGTTTACAAAATTAAGCTGTATTTTCAGATTCAGTAAATATGACAATGCTGCACAAGCATCATATAATGTTGAATAGACTTTCTATACCTGGAGCTATCCACACATGTTGCACAACAACTCTCATTACCTTTCACTAGCGTGGATGCTAGTTGGGAAGGATGTGAAGTTGTATTTCAGCAAATCTGCAGGGCGCTAAACTGGGGAAGGCTGAAGTAGATTGAGCCTATAATGATACACATAGGCTATGCTATTTTAGTTTCAGAGGAAGGGTGCTATAAGTGAATCAGACTTCAGTTCACTAGTCTGAGAATAGTAGCTTCATATGTTCTTGGCACGGGAATAAATCTTCATGTTGGACCATTAATCAACCTAGCCAAGCACTGCCTATCCTGACAAGAAGTCGTACGCTATAAGAGATCACAGCCAGAATTTTTTCCTAGCCTTGCTACATTTAAAGTGGACATACAAGAAAACCAACAGGATGGATGGTCTGTGAAAATGTCAATGAGATTATAAGAAAGACTGGGAATCAGTATGAATGTAGCAAGAGAAATCGTGTGCTAACTGACAGGTGAAATAAAGTTCAAGCAGTATCTGTCTGCCAGTCATCTCTTACTTTTTGCTAGAATATGTTTTACCATTTCTTTGAATTTCAACTAAAAGATCCAAGATTAAATGCATTTCTCTTCATGATGATTCTGTTAAATTACAACAAATTTTATCATTGTTCAATAAATCCTAGAACTGATCTTTTACACTCTTACCTTTCTATGTTTTGAAGCCCTTAAAGAGAACAGTTCAGAGGTGGTTCAGCCTTTTCTAATGGGTTGTGGAACAAAGGAACCAAAGATCACTCAGTTATGTCTAGCAGCTATACAACGGCTTATGTCTCATGAAGTTGTTTCAGAGGTAAGAGCTGGTTAATCTAAGCAGTATTATAAAAGTTGTTTCCCCATACTATGCATAATTAGTAATAAAAGAATTAGTAATAAAAATGTAATAAATTATCAGATAATTGATAATTATACAGATGCAACAATGTCATTGAAAGTTAATAGCGAGTAGACATGGTCTAGAGGGGCGGGGTAAAAATCAAATAAATAAATAAATAAATAAATACATACATACATACATACATACATAAATAAATAAATAAATAAATAAATAAATTCATTTTTTATCTTAATGGTTTTATCCTCATGCTTACAAAGAGCAACTAGCCCTTCTCCTCACTGTCATTATTTTGTCTGTGTCTCTGAAGAGGAGAAAATCCTGTTCCTGTGTTGGCTCTTCTTTCAAGGAAGAACCCAGATTTTTCCAGAATTCTTGCTTGTGTGAATTCTATGCACAAGCAAGACCTTCCATTCTTCAGACACATGGCTCTCCATAAGTAATAATGGAGAGGGGAGAGCTAGTCATTCTACTGCATGAGTGTTGGTAACAGTTGTTTAGGTAATAACTGGATAAGGCTTATGAGTGGCTTCTTGTTCCTGTCGTTGCTCAAACATTTCATAAGTTTCATTCTCAGCTCAGTATAGTGAGAATCATGAGATTAAGCATGTACAGTAGTGTATTGAATGTTAAGCTTAGATCAAGGAAATTTACTCAGCCATAACACTTGCTAAGGATCTTGAGCCACTATCTTTCTTCTGGTTTATTTTGCTTCACACAATTATAGCAATGATAAACTTGATACAGGGCACAATTTTTGCTTTCCAGAGCCATCTTGAAAGGCAGTGTGAAAATGTAGCAGTGCTAAGCCATGGTTTCTACTCATGGTTATAATCAAGTATACAAACTGTTGGGCTGATTGTAGTTAGCATTAACATTAATGTTAGTGTAATCCAGACCATAAATTGCTCACATCTAAGGGGTGGGGGACATAGAAGCAATATGTAGGACCTTTCAAATTGTTTCATCGAAACCAAAGTCTACACTTAAATTTAAACTGAACACTGTAAATGAAAAACAATAATTCACAGTACACGCTGTTGCCAGCTCTAAGATAATGTATTTATATTTATAAGAGATGAAAAAAATAATGAACCAACGTAGTGTAAAGACAATTGTCTTCTATTACATTAATGTAGATTTTTACTTTATACATTTAAGAAAATGTTTAGCTAATAAATGGTGCATGTTCAGTTTATTGGAATCTATTGTAACATGTTAACATTAAATATACAGTCCAGTATCCTGCTGAGCTACATAGAAAGTCCCATCGCTGGAGTAATAAAGAATCACACCACTTGTACTAGCATTGCAGTTGCTCTAGCAGCAATTCCTATGAAGAAATCTGCCCCCACTTGCACAACAGCTTTACTTGTGTAACTGGCTGGATCTTATGTTATTAAGTGGGTGTCTGCACTGAATAGAAGCCAGTAAGATGTTGGCCATAGTTTTTTATCCTAGCATTCCACCTGGATGTCTCAGTAGAAATGTAAAAACAAAAAATTAACTCAGAATGTGAAGCATTTTCAGTATAATATGTCTGCTAGAGTTGATGAGTAGTATCTGCTTCTCTGGTCATTTTGTGTATGAACATTCTAGATCTATGAATAATCTGAAATAATTGTTTCCAAGGTTGCTGCTGGAAATGTTATTAATATGCTTTGGCAACTGATGGAAAATAGCCTAGAAGAGCTCAAGCTTCTTCAGACTGTTCTTGTATTATTAACAACGAATACGGTTGTCCACGATGAAGCACTTTCTAAGGTAAGCATTTTATATATAAATTGCAGTGATAATTGTATGCTGCTATCAATATCATATAATTCAGTTCTGTAGGTTTTACAGTGAATCAGGAAGCTTCCCAGACTTTTCTTCAATACACATGGAAATTGTCAGAAAAATATATACCCTTGTCTTGTCTTCTCTTTTCTTTTGTTTTTGACTTGGATCATTGGAGGCTTCTTCGTGTAACAGTGTAGCACTGATTCCACACAAGAGAAGACTGAGAAAAAGGACTTCCTTGACTGAAAAAAAAATCCCCTTAAAATGCTAGTATTTCCAAACAGCAATATTGATGAAAGGATCATTGAAGACATAATGCGGGTACCACTGGATTTGCATGTTGAATTGGCTGTCAAAACTAATCAGATCTGCTAGAGATGTATATTCTTAGCAGTTAATCTTTCTAGACCCCTAGTAATATCTTCCGTTTGAGTAATAAATTGACATTTTAAATTCCATTTGTTAATCACGACTCTGCCAAAATGACTATATTTTCAGATAAAAAGCAAAGCAACACCTTAGGTGGGCATAATGGGACAGTGAATATCCGAAGAACTTGATTCTTTGTTGCCAAAACCTGATACAAAGTTGTCTGGATCATTGTAAGCTTTAACTAAGATTTACACACATATCAGTTTTTATCCTACCAGATAACAGTGTATATAAGGCAACAAAACCAAACTCTAGGTTAAAATAGAAAATGGTTTAAATTATCCCATTACTGTTTTACCTCATCCATTATATTTCAGTTTAGGAATATAAGTTCCCAAGGAAAGTGAGTTCTGCTGTTATGGAGAAGCCAGCAAGACTACCTCTTTTTGTCTTGTTTTCTTCTGTTGAAGTATCTTTGCACACAATGTGAATATGATAAAGTATTAGTGAGTCACTTGTTCAACCTCCTTGTCAGATTTCATCAGGGTTTTCTTGGGTTTAAGAGAGGAGACAGTTTGTCAGATAAGTAAGGCTTTATGGATCCATATCAATAATCAGCACCCTAAAACATGTTCAGATAGTAATGGTTAATAAGTAAAGAGCGAGGAATTTGGAGCTGCTATGTTCATTTCCAGATGAACTTTTTGACTGTGACCTAGTAGCCCAAGGTAAAATGCATTACAGTATTCTAGGCTTCAAAATGCAACGTACACATTGGTTTAAAATGTACTTTCATAAGTACATAAAATAAAATTTACATGAAGGTTTGAAAATAGGAAATTCTACAACATAATTTTTGTATTTATACCTATGAAGCATTTACATAAACTGATATTAAACTGACATATTTTTCATAACATGCATAATTTTGATGAGTATTTGGTTTTTGTAATCAGAATTGCTTAAATTTAAATATTCTAGGCAATCGTGCTCTGTTTTCGATTGCATTTCACAAAGGATAACATCACGAACAATACTGCAGCAGCTACAGTACGGCAAGTAGTTACTGTTGTTTTCGAAAGAGTGGTTGCAGAGGATGAACGCTATAGAGGTGGGTATGTGATTCTGTTGTAAGAAAATTATAATATGATGAGTATTTGGTGTGTGTTATAGATTTCCACTTGTGATTAAAGTTGTTACGTCTGCATACAAGTATTGTGCTTACTCATGGAAGATCAGAGATTCAAACATGGGATTATTCTATTTATCCTAAATTAATCTGTGATGAAGAAAGGTAATCCAGTGAGCTTCACAATTGAGTTGAAATTTCAATGTAAATTTCAATGTTGATCTTTCTAGTCCAGATCAAAGCCCATCTGTTCACTAACGTGGTTAAAAAAATTAAAGTCACTTTTCAAGGAATTTATGTCAGGACATTTATATGCATCATGGAGGTTTCGTATGAAACGTTCTGGTATACATTTGTAACATCAGATTGCTTCAAAATGTTCTGAACGCATGATTCAGTAGACAATACATCAGTTAACTGCAATTTTCTGCCAAATAGCTATGATTGCAAGATAGCCACCTACCTTTTTGTCTGGTAGGAAAACAGAAGTGTGTCGGAAAAGGTATTGCTACCCTGTTTCTCTGAAAATAAGACCTAACCTGAAAATAAGCCGTAGTATGATTTTTCAGGATACTCGTAATACAAGCCTACCACAAAATAAGCCCCAGTTAAGTGAAATCCTGCCCTCCACCATTGTACAACAACCAGAAGAAGATGACATGACTGTATTTGAATAAATGTAGATTGTTGTACATGAAGAATATAAAACATCCCCTGAAAATAAGCCCTAATGTGTTTTTTGGAGCAAAAATTGATGCAAGATCCTGTCTTATTTTCAGGGAAACATGGGATCTAGAAACACTTGCCAAAGTGTTCTTGCATTAGATGTAGTTAAAATAAGAGAGAGCACATAGCTCTTTAATTTTGTCATCTTATGCTTTATGTTGTTTCCAGATGTTAATGAACAGCCAATTGGAATTCAAGGAAATAGTAACAGAAGATCTGTCAGTACCTTGAGACCATGTGCTAAAGATGCATATATGCTTTTTCAGGTATTGACATTTGATTTTTTTAAAGCTTTTCATTTTTAAATAGATACAGTAAAGTTTATGGCAGACTACTAACTCCTCTAGTGTTTCTATCTGGAAGGAAAATAGGTATAAAGTAATTTTAAAACTTCAGACTACAGCTTTTTTAATATGGAAGGAAAATGCAGCATTCAAGAGAGATTTTAATGTTGACATCTAGAAGTTTATGTCATGTTCATATTTTTTTAAATGTGCAAAGAGATTTGAACAAATTCTTTAAGAAATTTTAATAGAATTGGGAAACTTGTTTTCATATAATTTTTTAAAAAACCATAAACATAAAATACATAAGCCAAAATACAAATCAACTGTGTTCCCCACCACCATAGTTGGGACCTCTTGCAGTAATCCTCTTTCTTTATCTTTATTCTTCTTCCTTTATTGTCCTCTTCTCCAGAATTGCATTGATTCTTGATTTGGAGCTTTCCCTTTTCCTCTTGTTAGCACATATTCAAGAAATTGCCCCATATATCATAAAAAGCATTCATTTTCATCTCTCCTTTCTTAAACTTTAAGCTACAAGTTAACTTATCATTTATAGCAATATTCCATATTTCATTATATCATTCTTCCATTTGAAATTCAGACTTTGATTTCCAATTGCTAGCTATTAAGAATTGGGAGACATTTTCAAACTCTAAAAACTGCAAATTAATTTAACAGAGAACTGACAGGACATTCTGAATCATTCTAGAGACTTGAGAGGATACCAGAGGGGAACAGCTTCTCATCTATGTAATCTGAAACCTGTATAAATAAATATTTAGGTTAGCAGTGGAGCAAAATATTGTAATAGGAGAAAGGCAAATACTGTGTGTTGTTAGAATGCTTCTAATGTGATGGCAAACCATAGTTTGGTATAACAGGAGCAAGGCTAGTGGAACCATTGGGCTCATGCATTCCCACTCCTGTCCTGGCCTGCAGCATTTCCTTCCTTCTTGATCTGTCATTTCTTATAAATTGGCAGACTAAGAAATGCACTAGTTCTAAAAACTAGGATTGAAATCCAGACTCAGACTTCAGTTTCTTTCCAAGTTTGCAGGGCAATCACAAATTTTTGTTCTTCTTTGGACGACAAATGCAATAATACTGTCACCCAAACTGGACATGTAAGGAGGAACTTTTGTAAAAGATGAGAGGAATGCATGCAGAAACATGCTAACACCAAATTATGATTTGACTGGATCATTCCATTGTGTAAAGTCATTTAACTGTGGTTGAGATTGTTGGCCAGCAACAACAGAGTCTGGTGCCATGGTAGTCACCATTATGGGGCTGGAGTTTGTTCCCCAGAGACCCTTATTATTTTTGCAGGCTTTCCTCATGCTCAGGGCTCTTGGCCAATAGAGGCATCCAGGGGCAGGCTTAACTTTGTAGGTAGACCAGAGGGATGAAGTCTCTATTCTGGTCCAACTGTCTCCCACCTGCCCTCCCTTGGTTTATGTTGACTTTGAACCATTTTTGGGCACTGGGGTCTTCATTATCTTTGTTGCAACTTTGTTGGAGCAGTTTTTAAGCATGAGGATGGATCCAGGAAGAGGTTGAACAGAGGCTTGACCATCTCTCCAGCTCACCTTTAGTGTGTATGTGAAGGTATGTGTGTGGAAAGCCATGCACGGCCCCATCTCAGAGTCAGCCATGCATTTTCTGTTCCCCAGTGGCAGGTGTGGCCAGACTGTGGCATACATCCAAGTGGTTAACTCTGAGTTCCTGTCACCTTGGTAAACATCAGCAGGCAGGTCAATTGATGATGATCCATCCTCTATGCTACTGTCAGGACTAGGGGCAGCTCTAACCTATAAAATTGTGGCCTTTATTCTTCCAATAGCTGTGTTGTATGTTGTGTTCTACAGTTCCAATTGTATGTGTTGTTACTTTTGTGTCCCAACTCCCCGGCATCATTGGAGCTTGACTAACAAGATGAAGGTGGGGGGAGAGCAACAGAAGTACAAACAGAGCGTGATTGGGGTAGAATGTTCTGCCCTAAACACAGAACGCTCCAAATTGTTGAGCAGTGGCAATCCAATCCATAAATTTGCTTCACTGTTATTGTGACCTCTCCTTTCTCTCTTCTTTTCTTAGTACACACTGTATGATTATCATTGATGCACAGGCACTTCTCTGAAGGTTTTTACTGTTGGTAAAGTCAGGTGCAAAAATTTCACCAGCCAAGAACTAGTTAGGGCTGATGCTAGTGGCCGTTCCTTGGGCCAGGTGGTGTCCAACACTTGGCTGTTGTTTGAATTTGCTGGGGCATAGAATCGTTTCTGATGTCTGTGAAATTTGAAGGATTGAGGTAGGGCAGTTGCCTCTCTTATGGGTTACATTGTTTCTAAAAGGAGGAATTACAAAGTAATAATCATATATAAGCATTGTGAAGCACAAGGCTAGGTGAGGACAAATGATATTGATCTGTCTGTTATCAAAATAACATATATAGTTATGAGCTACTGATCAGAGTTTCTCTAAATTCTGAAAAGGAGACGAAAACATTGCTAAATGAATTAATTAACAACTGCTTAACTGACTTAATTACCAACTGCATAATGCTGTATCTTTATTAACAACAATATTCAGTTAAATCATTCTTTTCAAATCTCCCAACCTGAAATTATGAGAAGTTTAAACTCTGGGGAAACACCTTTGTAAGAAAACATTTTCAGGTTGGAGATATCGATAGAATAGAAGTTCAGAGTCTTTCCTGGCTCATTTAAAGTGAATAAAAATGCAAAATAATGGGTTTTTGATTTGTTTGTTTTTTTAGGATCTTTGTCAGCTGGTTAATGCTGATGCTCCTTACTGGCTTGTAGGCATGACAGAAATGACCCGGACTTTTGGTCTGGAGCTACTTGAATCAGTCCTCAATGATTTTCCACAAGTATTTTTACAAGTGAGTGTGTCCCTATTTTGAATTTGCAGCAAGATAAGTGGTTTTAGAAACACAATATAGGCTGTTTATGAAACAGGAAGATGGGGAATGCCTTTAAAAGTCTTTAAAATGTGTGCAAAAATAATGATATCTGTTACCACTTGGTTGAGTTATATCTAGAGTAGAAATAAATGGATTTTTATTCATGAGTAATTTAAGTTCCATTGCTTTCAAGGAATGTGTTCTAACTATGCCTAAATCTGGATTTACCTCATAGTATTGTTGTTCTTTTTGTTAAACTTTAGTTCAGAGCCTGAATTTGAACCAAATTGGAAATCCAGTTCATGAGCACGCAGGCCTTTGACTTTGGATTTAAAAATCAAGAGAGCTAGAACTGTTTTGGTTGTTCCTGATGGAAATATGGATACAAGATACTCTGTTTCCCTGAAAATAAGACCTAACCTGAATATAAGGCGTAGTATAATTTTTCAGGATGCTCATAATATAAGCCGTACCCCCAAAATAAACCCCAGTTAAGTGAAACTCCGCCCTCCACAATTGTTGCAGCATTGTGCAGCAACCAGAAGATGACATGACTGTAAAATAAAACATCCCCTGAAAATTAGCCCTAATGTGTTTTTGGAGCAAAATTTAATATAAGACCCTGTCTTATTTTCGGGGAAACACGGTAGGTTTAAAGAAGGAGTAAATGTTCTAAATTTTGAGATTGCGTACTAGGCACCTTCAAAGCTGGCTTTAAAAGAATAGTCTTACGTAGATTCATTTGAGAGCCTGGTCTTGCCCATTCATGCAATTTTTTTCCACTCACTTATCTGTGATATTGAAGACACCTTCCTAGGCCTTGCAGGTGATAAACTTCTCTAAGAAGCTTCCCTTAAAAACATCTTTAAAGTTGAGACTTAACATACTGCTGCATTGAATAGTGCAATAAGAAGGAAATGTGGTGGTCAGAGTTGAAGTGTTTAACATAAAGGCAGCTTGGTGGGTACTGAACAGGCAGTGGCATTTAGGTGCCAGATGAAGGCAGGTGGGAGAGTGCAAAGCCACAAGCAGCTAAGTAAGTGTAATGAAATACAGTGCTGCCTGCCCCTGACATTGGGAGCAGGCTCATTCTCACAATCACTGTGGAAGAGGCAAAGTAATTAGCTTCCCTTGGACCTGTGGGTACCATTCTTGTTTCTATTCCTGCTGCAGAGGTAACTCATGATTGAAGAAGTTAATCTGATGATCAGATATAATGGTAATAAAGTAGTAGCTATTGAATTTACACTGTAAATGATGTATATAAAAATAATTTCTAACAGTAGTTTGGAAGTGAAGTGTAGCACTTTGCTCACACAAATTCATGAAATAAGTGATAAAAATAATAATGTTGCTTGCTAATTCACAGTATGAATTCAACACACAACTCAATCAGATTAAATGTGGAAGAAAACAAATATGGTTCCTGGAAGAGTACAGATAAATGCACAGTTGCATATATGCACAGGCATGCCCTCCCACAAATATGTACATAAACATGCAATAAAGAGAGAAAAATGTTAATGTACCATAAAAGAATTGCTGTCAGACAACAACAAAGGTTAGGAACAGCAGTGCAAGTAGAAAGTTGGAATTAAGTTTTGCCAGTTGATGTACTGGCAAATTAGTAATTTAAATTAGTAAATTAGGTACAATTAGAAACTAATAGGATGGAGCAGTGAGAAGTGAAGAGAGATATGAATTTAGACAATCAAGAACAGTCCCAAATCATTGACTGCCAGTTCTGTGATCTGCAAAATATTGCACAGATGGCTAAATCTTATGGCTAAATTAACAAACAGCTGTAAAAGATAATACTGTACCCTGTTTTCCTGAAAATAAGACCTAACCTGAAAATAAGCCCTAGTATGATTTTTCAGGATGCTTGTAATATAAGCCCTGCCCCAAAAATAAGCCCCAGTTAAGTGAAACCACACCCTCCACCATTGTGCAGCAACCCGATGAAGATGACATGACTGTATTTGAATAAATGTAGATTGTTGTACATGAAAAAAATAAAACATCCCCTGAAAATAAGCCTTAATGTGTTTTTGGAGCAAAAATTAATATAGTACCCTGTCTTATTTTCGGGGAAACACAGTAGCATTCTTAATATTGAATTTTTAACTTTTCCAGCATCAAGAGTTCAGTTTCCTCCTTAAAGAAAGAGTTTGTCCACTTGTCATAAAGCTCTTCTCACCAAACATCAAATTCAGACAAGGTTCTAGTACTTCATCTTCACCAGCACCCGTGGAAAAGCCTTATTTTCCTATCTGCATGCGCCTTTTGAGGGTTGTTTCTGTTTTGATCAAGCAGTTTTATAGCTTGCTGGTAAGTTATACTATTATTATGGAAAATATATATTTTAAATCTCTTATACAGCAAAATATGGCATTTACACAGCTTGTATTCTAAATATTGAAAGTGACAGTTTATGCCTGCCTACTCTGAAGAAAGTCTAATTTAGCTCAGTGTGCCTTATTTAAGCTTAAGTGGATATTAGACCTCACCAGGTAACAGGACAAAACCGCAAGGACTAAATAAAATATCACATCCTAAAGAGTATGCAATACTCTTAATCTCAGAAACTGCTTAACATTTTTTGTAAGTCTACCTCTCTTACTACCTTCAAAACTGCCCTCAAAATTTCTCTGGAGCTCTTGGGGGGGAAATTGAATTTTTAAATCTTCTTGTAAGTCAGATTGTGACTTCATGGAGCAAAGGTTGGCCTCTTGCGTCCTATAAAGTGTCATACATACTGATAATATGTTTGCATGTTTCTTGTTATTCCTCTTCTATCAAAGCTTGGATATTATCGGAGCTGTTTTGACTTTGGATGCAGCAGTTCTAAATAGTGAATCTGTGTTGCATCAAAACCATTCTACAGGGTCATGTAGCCAATATGCTCTTCTCTATTTTTATTAATTCTGCCATGTATGTTTCTTGAATGATTTGGTTTAACAATCAGTATGTTTTGTTTCTTGTTATGTAATGTACAGATTGTTACGAATTCAAGAATAGCATGGTACTGTTACAGTTTCTTGTAAGATTATTTTGACTTCTCTTGGAAACCTATATGAGACTGTTTGTTGCTGTTGTTTAGTTGTTAAGTCATGTCCGACTCTTTGTGACCCCATGGACCAGAGCATGCCAGGCCCTCCGGTCTTCCACTGCCTCCCGGAGTTTGGTCAAATTCATGTTAGTAGCTTCGATGACACTGTCCAATCATCTCATCCTCTGTCCTCCCCTTCTCCTCTTGCCTTCACACTTTCCCAACATCAGGGTCTTTTCCAGAAAGTCTTCTCATGAGATGGCCAAAGTATTGGAGCCTCAGCTTCAGCATCTGTCCTTCCAGTGAGCACTCAGGGCTGATTTCCTTCAGAACGGATAATTTTGTTCTCTTTGCAGTCCAGGGAACTCTCAAGAGTCTCCTCTAGCACCACAGTTCAAAAGCATCAATTCTTCGGCAGTCAGCCATCTTTATGGTCAGGCTCTCACTTCCATACATCTCTACTGGAAAAACCATAGCTTTGACTATGCGGACCTTTGCCAGCAAGATGATGTCTCTGCTTTTTAAGATGCTGTCTAAGTTTCTCATTGCTTTCCTCCCAAGAAGCAGACGTCCTTTAATTTTGTGGCTGCTGTCTCCATCTGCATTGATCATGGAGCCCAAGAAAGTAAAATTTGTCACTGCCTCCATATCTTCTCCTTCTATTTGCCAGGATGTGATGGGACCAGTGGCCATGATCATCATCATCATCATCATCTTCTTCTTCTTCTTCTTCTTCTTCTTCTTCTTCTTCTTCTTCTTCTTCTTCTTCTTCTTCTTCTTCTTCTTCTTTTGATGTTGAGCTTCAGACCATTTTGGTGCTCTCCTCTTTCACCCTCATTAAGAGGTTCTTTAATTCCTCCTCACTTTCAGCCATCAGAGTGGTATCATCTGCCTATCAGAGGTTGTTGATATTTCTTCCAGCAATCTTAATTCTGGCTTGGGATTCATACATCATTCATCCAGTCCTGGATGAATGATGTATGATGTATTCTGCATATATATTAAATAAGCAGGGAGACAATATACAGCCTTGTCGTATACCTTTCCCAATTTTGAAACAATCAGTTGTTCCATATCCAGTTCTTACTGTTACTTCCTGTCCCACATATAGATTTCTCAGGGAGATAGATAAGGTGTTCAGGCTCTCCCATTTCTTTAAGGACTTGCCATAGTTTGCTGTGGTCCACACAGTCAAAGGCTTTTGTGTCAATAAAGCAGAAGTAGATGTTTTTTCTGGAACTCTCTGGCTTTCTCCATAATCCAGTGCATGTTAGCAATTTGGTCTCTAGTTCCTCTGCTCCTTTGAAAT